TAATTATACTGTATAATTGTATATTTAATACAATATGTATATACGATATATACACAATATAATTATATGTATATTATATTACATATATTATATATAATATAATATAAATATAATGTAAATAATACTATATAATATATGTTATATGTATTATATATAATATATATAACATAAATAATATAAATATATGACATATATAATGTATATAACATATAAAATATTTTATATATCATATATTTATATAATTTATATTACTTATAACTATTATAAAGTATAATATAAATATAATATATTATATTATATGAATATGGTATTTATTTATAATATTTATATATTTATTCAATTTTATATATTTATATTTATTCATATATATTTATATTTAAATTTATATACATATATACAGAATCATTTGGTATAGACCTGAAACTAATAAAACATTATAAGTCAACAGAGAGAGTCAACTCCTAGGCAGGCTGAAGTCCGGGGTCCCTGAGGAGATGAGAGGGGTCTGGGGCTCTCAAGGAGGAGGAAAGGACAAACATCTTTTTTTTCCTCTGCATTCCTTAGTCTTAATCACATAAAACATTTTTTCCTTTAAGCCCGGACCTGATGATTACACAACAAACAACTCACTTAAACTGCACTAAGGATTATATAGCAACAATGTATCCTCTTGAGGACAGCTTCTCTTTTCTGAAAACCTTCTGGCTAATCCTGTTATCTTAAAATGTAAATTATGGGAGTGGGTCTGGTAAATTTTTCACAAACTTGAGACATTCTTTTGATTTATTGTAATAACTAATTAAAAAGTATAACTCGCTTGCTAACACTAGCGAGGGGGGCACTCTCTGTCCCCCTTCTGATGTCTGTCAGAAGTTTTCTCTGTCCCTCTTCACACTTTAATAAAACTCTGCTACACAAAAGCTCTTGAGTGATCAAACCTGGTCCCTGGTCCCTAAGCTAAATCTTCGGAGATCACGAATCCAACACCGTTCACCGTAAGCTAGCATCAACTCCGTGGTGCGTGCTCAGTTGTGTCCGAACTCTGCAACCCCATAGACTGTAGCCTGCCAGGACCCTCTATAGAATTCTCCAGGCAACAATACTGGAATGAGTGCCAGGCCCTCCTCCAGGGGATCTTCTTGATCCAGAGATCAAACCCACGTCTCCTGCATTGGAAGGTGGATTCTTAAGCACTGCTCCACCTGGGAAGCCCATAAGTCAGCTATATTTTAAAAAAAAAAAGGAAAGTGGCTGTATTTCTGGTGTATTGCATCCTTACTGTGATCCATCCCACATGACCTTGAGAAGTCACCTATTATTCCTCCAGGGACTCACATACCCCAGGCTGAAGATGGCTAGCCTAGTACAGAGAAAGGCCCACACAAGGGCTGCCAACCTACTCCCTAAAGGTAGGTGTGCAAAGCACCTCTCCTAGGACCCCCTGACAAGCTTTCTCCACCAGGGCTGGTATGAACAGGTGGGCTGGTATGAATAGGTGGATTGGCTGCCAGACCCTATCTGTTGAGTTTAATCAGTTCTCCTGCTGTCTCTGAGGACAGTGGCTGACTCAGGCATGCAGTTGGCCAAGTCCAGCGTGCTCCCTGGGGTGCCACTGTAAGAGATGGAGGAGCAGCTCTGTGGCCTCCGGGGGCCTCCGTGAAGAGAGAAGGAGGTTGGAACTGTGAAAGTCACAGAACCTGGTTCACTCCCTCTCTTCCTAGCTGAGTGGCTCTGGATACTGGACATCCCTTCTCTGGGCCTCCATTTCCCTATCTGTAAACGGGATGACAGTGGTCCTTCTTGAAGTTGTCTGGGTACCAGTGAGCTGATGCAGATACAGCCCTTACTGCTGCAGACAGTAAGAGGTCAAGAAGACCTTTTGCTGTGACTGTCACCTCTTTTTGACCCTCTCAACAAACCCGTGCAGCTCACAAGTCAGTTCAGTTCAGTTCAGTCGCATCCGACTCTGCGACCCCATGGACTGCAGCACAACAGGCTTCTCTGTCCATCACCATCTCCCGGAGCTTGCTCAGACTCATGTCCATGGAATCGGTGATGCCATTCAACCATTCATCCTCTGTCATTCCCTTCTCCTCCTGCCTTCAATCTTTCCCAGCATCAGGGTCTTCTCCAATGAGTCAGTTCTTCGCATCAGGTGGCCAAAGTATTGGAGTTTCAGCTTCAACATCAGTCCTTCCAATGTGTGTTCAGAACTGATTTCCTTTAGAATGGACTGGTTGGATCTCCTTGCAGTCCAAGGGACTCTCAAGAGTCTTCTCTGACACCATGGTTCAAATTCTTTGGCATCCATTCTTTGGCACTCATCTTTCTTTATAGTCCAACTCTCACATCCATATATGACTACTGGAAAAAGAATAGCTTTGACTAGATGGACCTTTGTTGGCCAAGTACTGCCTCTGCTTTTTAATATGCTGTCTAGGTTGGTCATGGCTTTTCTTCCAAGGAGCAAGTGTCTTTTAATTTCATGGCTAGTCCAGTTCTAACTGTTGCTTCCTGACCTGCATACAGGTTTCTCAAGAGGCAGGTCGGGTGGTCTGGTATTCCCATCTCTTTCAGAATTTTCCAGAGTTTATTATTACCCCCCACCAAAACAGAGGCCTTCCCCTTCCAGTCTCTGCCTAGCTCTCCATTCTCACCACCTTCCACCACGTGACATACTTTCAGTTTCCCAAACTGCACATCCTGCATATTCTATTCTCTGCATAGCACAGTCTGAAGAAGGAATTCATGAGGCCTTGATTCCATCTGAGGCCTGTCCGTGCTGATCGTGCTCGGCCACCTCTCCAGTGGGCTCTGAACTCTCTGCTTAGTGCCTGTGGGAATGACAATGGAAGGATAAGACACCTTCTGGACAGGGGAACCTTAAAGATATCCAGGTTACTCATCACCTAAGAGAAAACAGACACTAATCACCCCTGCCTCCAGACAGTATCTATCAGAATGTAACCACAGGCTTATCGGTTATTAACTGGTTGGAATGTAACCGCGGGCTTATTGATTATTAACTGTTTGAACACACAACACGTGAATGATGGTGTTATTTTGATTGTATTTACCCTTCCTTTGTAAGCCTCAAGGGATTTGGGGTGGTGGGTTTGGACACGTACACATGGGGTATAAAAGATTTTCACAAATGCTGGTCGGGTCCTTGTGTAAGAGGAGACTCTGCCTTGGGCCCGCTGGTGTAATAAACTGCACTCCACTATCTGCATTGTCCTTCTGAGTGAGTTTGTTTCCCGGAGAGCGTGGCTATAACACTCTACTCCTCACTTTCACTTGGTCAACTCTTTCGAGTCTAGACAAATGCCTTCCCTTCTCCATGGCCCCTGAGCTTCAAAGAGTTCAGTATGGACCCTCCTCCACTGACTGCCTCCCCCAGAGGGTAGGGGCAGCCCCTTCTATTCCTTGCTGTCTCCCAGCATCCAGCAAGGAGCTGGCCTTGTAGCAGCTCAATGGAAGAATGCACACGGTTCGACTGCACACGTCTGCCTTGCTGTAGTACAGTCCAGAGCGCTCAGCAACTGTTTCAGGAAGGCAGGTGGGTGGGGAGACTTGACAAACGCTCCAGGGGAAGTGAAAGGAGGGGTGACCAAGCAAAGTGAGAAAGATCTGGGAAGAAAACAGAAACAGTAGAAGTTAGGCCTGAGTTTTGTCAGGCGAGTGCACACTCCCCGGTTTTTGTCTCGTCACAACAAAGATTTGGAGTGACGGACATTAAAGCCCTCTAGGCGGTCACAGCTCTCGGGTCTTGGACAGACTGTGTTATAGCTCTTAGACAAGTCAGTGTTACAGCTCCGTGTTACAGCTCTATTTTCTTTAGAAGATAGCAGGAAAATACATCTTCCAGGCATGAGGGCACGTCGATCCAAAGATGCGAAGAGAAAAGCGCCCCATCACGTGGGGGCGGGGGTGAGGAGGGAAGAGAGAGAGAGAGAGAGAGAGAGAGAGAGAGAGAGAGAGAGCGAGCCAGCGAGTGAGCGAGCGAGTTTGGCTCCTCTCTTTATCTTTTAGCTACCGCCATTTTGGACTCCCTTTCCCTATTCTAACCACCTAACAGTTCGAAACAGAAGCTAACCACTCCAGTATTGTTGCCTGGAAAATCTCACGGACAGAGGAGCCTGGCAGGCTACAGTCCATGGGATCGCAAGAGTTGGACACGACTTAGCAACTAAACCACCACTACCACCAAGCGGGTCCCTAGACAGCTTTTCTAGATGGTTTTTCCAGTAGGCATGTATAGATGTGAGAGTTGGACTATAAAGAAAGCTGAGCTCGAAGAATTGGTGCTTTTAAACTGTGGTGTTAAAAGGCTCTTGAGAGTCCGTTGGTCTGCAAGGAGATCCAACCAGTCCACCCTAAGGGAGATCAGTCCTGAATATTCATTGGAAGGACTGATGCTGAAGCTGAAACTCCAATACTTTGGCCACCTGATGCGAAGAACTGACTCATTGGAAAAGACCCTGATGCTGGGAAAGATTGAAGGTGGGAGGAGAAGGGGACGACAGAAGATGAGATGGTTGGATAGCATCACCGACTGGATGGACATGAGTTTGGGTAAACTCCGGGAGTTGGTGATGGACAGGGAGGCCTGGCGTGCTGCAGTTCATGGGGTCGCAAAGAATCGGACAAAACTGAGCGACTCAACTGGACCGAGCTGAGATGACTTTCGTGCCACTCACAACGATGGCGGCACAGAGCCACGCCCCTCGCCAACGAGGCCGTCCTATGGGGTGGGCGGACCTGGAAGGCAGAAGTGACGCTACCGGAAGTCCGTCCCACCGCTCAGCCGCCTAGGGGACCCAGGCCGCTGCGAAGGCGGTTGTGGTGGGCGGCTACGTGGGCTATGCGGCTGGATCCGCGGCTTGGGGGCGCCGCGGCGCTCCGACTGCTGCTGGCTGCCCACGTGGTGGCGGCATTCGAGCCTATCACTGTGGGCATCGCCATCGGGGCCGCGTCGGCGCTCACCGGCTACCTGTCTTACAAGGACCTGTACTGCCGCTTCGCCGAGTGCTGCCGCAGCGAGCGGCCGCTCAATGCGTCGGGTACGGCGGGGCCACCCCTAGAGGGGCTCGCGGGGCGCGGGAGACAGGCCCCCCCCGCGGGCGTCAGCGCCCCGGCATCCCGCGCTCACCCTTCGATGGGGTAGGAGGGAGGAGAGGTGGAGTTTCGGTCTCGGCTGCTGCCTCGGAAGCCGTGTCTTCGGAGAGATCCTCCGGATTGCGGGGGATCTGCCCAACTTCCTCCCTAAAAGTTTGCATTCCTTGGGAGGACAATAAGAAGAAACTGAAAGCAGCCGCCCTGCTGCGCCGTGTCGACCCTGTTAAGTACTTTTCAGACGTGCAGCGTCCGCCCCGAAAGCCATCTGGCCCTCGGTTTTCTTCCAAGCCGGTAGGGGTGGCTGGGGGAATAGCAAAGCAGCCCAGTCGAGAGGGCCAGTCCTTGGATGAGCGAACACATTTAGTTAGCTTACTTCTCCAGTCCGTTTCCTTGGAAGTGGCCTAGTGTGACCGCAGCCCCGTGGTTCTGCCTCAGTGCCAGCCCTGGGGTTTGGCAGAGATCCCATGCTGGACCACTTTGCGAACCTGTGCCTCCCACTTTGGCCAGCTGGGACGAGCGCTGCTCTTCTGGTGCGTGTTTAATGTGTATTTTTCTCTCTCCTTCTCGGGCTGGCTCCTGCAGCCCTCAAGCAGGACTTGGAGGAGAAGCTGTTTGGGCAGCATCTGGCCACAGAGGTGATTCTCAAGGCGCTGACCGGCTTCAAGAACAACAAAAATCCCAAGAAACCACTGACTCTCTCGTTACACGGCTGGGCTGGCACAGGCAAGAATTTTGTCAGCCAAATTGTGGCTGAAAATCTTCACCCCAAAGGCCTGAAGAGCAACTTTGTCCACCTGTTTGTGTCGACCCTGCACTTCCCTCATGAGCAGCACATAAAACTGTACCAGGCAAGGAATTGCTACCCCTTCTCCAGCTTCTGCAGCTGGTCTGGGTGACCTGCTCCCTGACTCCAGCCCCTGCTCCTTCCTTTGCGCTGCAGTAGCCCCAGGCCCCGCTGGTTTAAGGCACAAGTCCCCACCCCGGCGACCTTTTGCCATTTGCAGTTCTCCTGCAACTTCTGCCTCACCAATTCCAAAATAATACAGGGGGTGTGGGCGTGCTAAGTCTGTCCAACTTTTGCCACCCCATGGACTGTTGCCCATCAGGCTCCTCTGTCCGTGGCATTTTCCAGGCAAGAATCCTGGAGTGGGTTGTCATTTCCTTCTCCAGGGAATCTTCCCGATCCAGGGATCGAACCCACATTTCCTGCATTGGCAGGTGAGTTCTATACCACTGAGCCACCAGGGAAGCCCCATACAGCGGGGTGATGTTCCATTAAAAGATGGAGCCAAGAGCGGGAAGGCGACTCGCCCCCTACAGTCTTTGTGACCTTATGGCAAATGAGAAACTGGAACCCGAATCTCCTGTCTCCTAGTCTGCAGGGTAGCCGTGCTGTGCAGTGAGTATGCGCAACATCCCCGTCACAGTCCTTGGTTAAGTGAAACAGACTCAAATGGCTTTATTTAAGGCTCCCTTGGGAGTTCCTTGGTGGTCTCCTGGTTAGTACTCCATGCTTTCACTGCTGAGGGCACAGGTTCAATCCCTGGTCAGGGAACTAAGATCCCTCAAGCACAGCCAAAAATGAAAAAATAAGATTCCTGCCTATGATGTAGCTTCAGCGTGGCCTCTGCATGTAAGCAGTGAGAACCAGAAAAATTTTTTTTCTCCTCAGTAATGGTTTTTCCCGTTGTTCCTCCTGTTCTTCACATTCTTGGCATTGTATTGTTAACTTGTCCAGTCGGGCTGTTGTTTAAATGGACATCCTTGTAAAAGTTAGTGTTCCTACTTAGTGTTAGGTGGGGACTGAAATAAGGAATAGAAACTGAACAAGGAAGTAAAAGTGGATATTTGCCACATAAACAGTAAGACAGGGAAGACAGCCAAAAAGAGAGTGATTTTCTTATTTTCCAAATTCTTTCATAAATCCCTAGAAATACAGGCACAAGTGCTTGTCGTGAAATGTCATCTAGGTCAGCGTCTTTGTTCACTGCGCTTGTAACACCATTATAAGGCACTGGTGTTGGACATGGCACCGGGCTTAGTCTAGTTTCTTATTCCTCAGTATGTCTAGTAAAATTGAGATTTCCATCTACAGTGAGATGAAAATTACTGGTTGGTTACCAGTGAAACGATAAATATTCACATATCTTATACTTTTAAAGAGTTGCATCGTGTACCTCATTTGAGTTAGGAAAACACTTATTTGCCTTTTAGCACGCATCTCTGCTAGTTTCCATCCCCCCCCCACTTTTTTTTTCTTTCTTTCTCTTATTTTATTATTCTTTGAAATTTGTTTATTTTAATTGGAGGCTAATTACTTTACAATAGTGTAGTGGTTTTTGCCATACATTGACATGAATCAGCCATGTTCCCCCCCACTTTTTATAGAAGAATTTTCGGAAAAGTAGCTACCCTGTGAGTGGAGGCTGGGATGTGGCTTTTGTTGTTAAAGCCCAGAGAGCTCTGATTTTCCACCCTCCTGAGTCTGAAGAACAGCATAGCACTTCTCCCCTGGGCACACCCTTTGAGTCCCCGTGTCCCATTTCTTCTTTTATGGTTGGTTTAGGACCAGTTACAGAGGTGGATCCGGGGTAACGTGAGTGCATGTGCGGGCTCCGTGTTCATATTTGACGAGATGGATAAGTTGCACCCGGGAGTCATTGACGCAATCAAGCCGTTCCTAGATTACTACGAGCAGATTGATGGCGTGTCTTACCGGAAGGCCATCTTCATCTTTCTCAGGTCAGTGGGAGGCGTTTCTTGAGTGGGGATGTACAGAGCCCTTCATTTTCCCAGGGCTAGAATGAGGTTCTGGGGACAAATGTGCCAGCCTGGCAAAAGTATCTTGCAGACTTTTTCCGGGTTGCTGATGTCAGCATGGCACTGGGCAGAGGCAGGAGGAAACAAATGAAGGAAATTGTTGCTGATAATAGGCAATTTTGCTACCTACACATGTCACCTCTGGGGTTTATAAAAAGTCATAGCGTTACACACCAAGTTTTTTTTTTTTTCCTCTCCCTGAGAAAACGGATTTTCAGCTCCTGAGGGCAGATGTTTTTTTTTTTTTTTTGTATACCAGTATATAGTAAATACTCCTTGATTAAAACTGAACTTTAGAGAAATATCACAATCTGATTCCATCTTAGAAAACTTACCGTGTTTCCTGATAATAAGTGACATCATTAGGAAGTCATTACAACTCTTTTGTACATCTAGACTAGTTTATATATTTAACTTTAAAATAAGCTGCATAGAAACTGAAAAGGAAAAAAAAAAGAGTAAACTTAGAGCAGGTACGTTTCCTGATTAGACAGTCTTTTTCTTAAAATTAGTTTTTATTGGAGTCTAGTAGTTTCTGTGGTAGTTTGTTGTTCAGTCGCTCAGGCATGTGACCTCTGTGACCTCAAGAACTGTGCCACGCCAGGCCTGTCTTTCACCATCTCCTGGAGTTGGCTCAAACTCATGTCCATTGAGTCGGTGATGCCATCCAACCATCTCATCCTCTGTTGCCCCTTTTCCTCCTGCCCTCAATCTTTCCCAGCATCAGGGTCTTTTCCAGTGAGTTGCCTTTTTGCATCAGGTGGCCAAAATATTGGAGTTTCAGCTTTAGTATCAGTCCTTCCAATGAATATTTAGGACTGATTTCCTTGAGGATTGACTGGTTTGATCTCCTTGCAGTCCAAGGGACTCTCAAGCATCTTCTCCAGCACCACAGTTCAAAAGTATCAATTCTTCAGCAATCAGCCTTCTTTATGGTCCAACTCACATCCACATGTGACTACTGGAAAAACCATAGTTTGGACTAGATGGACCTTTGTTGGCAAAGTACTGTCTCTGCTTTTTAATATGCTGTCTAGTTGGTCATAGCTTCTCTTCCAAGGAGCAAGCGTCTTTTAATTTCATGGCTGCAGTCACCATCTGCAGTGATTTTGGAGCCCAAGAAAATAAAGTCTGTCACTGTTTCCATTGTTTCTCCATCTATTTGCCATGAAGTGATGGGACCAGATGCCCTGATCTTGTTTTTTTTTTAATGTTAAATTTTAAGCCAGGTTTTTCACTCTCCTCTTTCACTTTCATCGAGAGATTCTTTAGTTCTTCGCTTTCTGTCATAAGGGTGGGTGGTTTCATCTGCATATCTGAGGTTATAGCAAAGTGTTATATACACATATACACTCTTTTTCAGATATTTTTTCCCATCTAGGTCACCACAGTATTGAGTGGAGTTCTCTATGCTATACAGTAGGTTCTCACTAGTTATCTTTTATATATAGTAGTGTGCATGTGTCATAGAGAAGTCAGTGTGTGATTTTAATCTGGTTTCTTTGGCAAACTCAGCAACGCAGGTGGGGACCTCATAACTAAGACGGCCCTTGACTTCTGGCGGGCTGGGAGAAAGAGAGAGGACATCCAGCTGAAGGACCTGGAGGCCGTGCTGTCTGTCGGAGTCTTCAATAACAAACACAGTGAGTCTCCCCAAGTGGGTGCCCTGCGCCCTGCCCACAGCATCACCGTTCTCTCTTTTTACTTTTGACCCTGTGGCTTGTGGGATCTTAGTTCCCCAATAAGGGATCAAACCCGTGCCCTCTGCAGTGGAAGCTCAGGTCCTAACCACCGGACCGCCAGGGAAGTCCCAACCATCTCTCTCTTTAAGCCTTTCACAAGACCACAGAATCTGCTTGCGTCTGTAGCTTGGCTGAAGTAGGGACTTTCTTTTTTGGAGGGCATGCTATTCTAGAAGCCAGTTAGCGGGGGTAGCCAACCAACCGATACATCAGGCTTGACCAAAAGAGAGTCGTGAGGGCCGCAGACGTGGGGAGTGTGCTGGGGTGGGGATCAGGACAGGCCCTGCAGGAGCCGCACGCTGGCGGGCTGACAAGGACAGAAGTGGCAGGAAACCCAGCCGTGCCCTGTTTCCCAGGTGGCCTGTGGCACAGCGGCCTGATAGACCGGAACCTCATCGACTACTTCATCCCCTTCCTGCCCCTGGAGTACAGACACGTGAAGATGTGCGTGCGGGCGGAGATGAAGGCCCGCGGTTCCGCCATCGACGAAGACGTCGTCACCCGAGTGGCAGAGGAGATGACCTTCTTCCCGAAGGACGAGAAGATCTACTCAGACAAGGGCTGCAAGACTGTGCAGTCACGGCTGGATTTCTACTGAGCTCTCGTGCAGGCAGGCTGAGACGTGACTGGACGCCCAGCAGACCTGGGGCCCAGCCCGAACAAGCACTTTAAGACCTCTTCGGGGTTTGCACGTTTGCACCTGTGAACTCGTGGGATCCGGAAGGTTCTAAGGGTTGGTTTGTGAAATCACGCTCTGCTGTCAAGTGAACTTGTGTTGCAACATGATGGCAGCCCAGCTGTTCATCACAGTTGGAAATGAACTTTTGAAATCTCCCCCCTCCCCGCACACACACTTAACTGCCCTTGACAGAAGTGCCTTGAAAACAGAGGCCGAGGACTCTTTCTGACCCAACGGTACCCCGACCACAGAAGCCGAACTGAAGTTCAAGGGCTAATGCGAGCCAGGGAGCATTGGTTTTCACCTGCCAGAAACACTCTTCAGCTGAAGTTCTTTTACAGAACACGTTCACCAAGAGGAAGTATTTTCAGGTAACACTGGTGGCACCTTCAGGCACAGATCGCCCCGTGGGAGAACCCAGGTCTGAAGGCCGAGCACACGGCTGGGTGAACCGTCTGCTTGTGGGGTGGGGGCTCCATGCCAGGCCTCTGCGGCCCCGCGGAACGGGCAGGACCTCTGCTTCTGTCCGTGGCTTTGCTGCTGTTTACAACCTTCATCGTGGATTCCAGCTCCAGCTCTCACTTGGTGTTGACCGCAGCCTTCCTGGTACTACTGCTCCTCCTGAATTTCAGCCACGGCTCCGGGTCCCACCAGCCATCTCATCTCTAGAGATGGATCAGAATGCAGCCTTCGGCTTTGAGTTTGAGTCCTTGGTTCCCACGGTGGGATGTTTGTCTGTTACAGTTTACATGTGGGTCAGCTTTTCACTTGACTCCACAGAACCATTTGAAATCTGCAAAACCCCATCTTTCTCCACAGATGACATGTGCCAACTGAGCTTTCGGCTTGCAGGTTCTGCATTGCCAAAGAGGAAGTATTGTACACTAGAAATGCTTGAGTTTTCGAGGATGTGGCTATTTTTAATAATGTTTTTACTTGGGAATCTTAGATAATGGAGATACAAAACATTGCTTATTTTAAAACCTGGGAAGGGATAATTGCCTGTTCCTTTATCAGATGCTCTTAAAACAGATGATTGTGGCTGGTCCTGGGTGTGTCATCTAAGAATGATGTCCTTTATGGTGGTGCCAGGCTGCACTGCCCTGGCCTTGGGGAAATAAGACTTTGATTCCAGCCAGTGTGAATCACTCTATCTTGTGGTTGCAGTGCAACTGAAGACAGGTAATGAGAACATGCAGCTTTTTTATATTTATAAGATGTGGCAGAAGGAACGTTCCTTCAGCATGGCAGTGCCTTATAGAGGATCACACTCAGTCTTTAAAAAATGCCAAGGTGAGGCTTGAAACTTTTAGTACATGTCCTCAAGTTGGACCCAAGTTAAATTTCTTTTATAACCTTTTGGGTGTGTGGTCAGGAGGATATAGGATTTCTTGTTTACAATGATGCAATAAACTGGCTACCTTTGGACTGCTGTTACTGACTTGTAACTTGAAAAGGCCACAGATGCCCACGGCCTAGCCTCTTCACCCCACATAAGACGTAGACGAGCTTGGACTGACCTGCTAAGTCAATTCAGTCATGTCCGACTCTGTGTGACCCCATAGATGGCAGCCCACCAGGCTCCGCCGTCCCTGGGATTCTCCGGGCAAGAACACTGGAGTGGGTTGCCGAATGTCAAACAATGAAGCTTAAATTTTATCATGAGACGCCACTTGCAGATTTTTTTTCTGGTTTATTTGGGAGCTCTGAAAAGTTTGAGCTGAGAAGAAAGGCTCTTTATTAACTCGGGTGAATTAGGCTTACTGGATACGCTGGTTGGCTGTCTTCATGTCATACAGAATCAACGTTTACCTTAAAGGTTGTTCAGTACAAAGTTAAGTTGGATTAGATGATGAGTCACAGCCCAGCTAATTTTCATGGATGTAAGTACCGTCAGAAAGAGCTGGCCTTGCTTTATTTTTTGGCGGCACCCCACGGCATGTGGCACCTTAGTTTCCCCACCGGGGGTCAGAGCCACACCCCCTGCACCGGAAGGCAGAGTCTTAATCACTGGACCACTGGGGAAGTCCCAGACTGGTTTTCTAACAGATATGTTCTAAAATTAATGCAGGCAGGAAAGCAAGGCACTAAAATGTGATTCACGGCTGCCATTCTGCACCTAAAGCATGGCTGAGCTGAGACCAGGAAACCTTGCCTGGTCTTCCAGTCCAGAACCTGGAAATAACAAAATCCTTGTTATATTAACCAGATCTCAGCTTAATCCCTCAATCTGGGCTCTTCGGTGAGTGATTTGTTCACACTGGCCCTTCCCAGGACTGAGGATGGAGCCCTTTCTAGAAAGTTGAGAACTTCTTCACCATCAGGTCACCCACTCCCCCCATTTCCTGGTTCCTCATCCCGTGAGCCTGCCCTTCCATCTGGGTCCCAGGCTACTGCCGCTTCCACTTCCCCCCACGCAGCCTCATCTGGAAGACTGAACTTTCTAGGTGAGTCAGGGGATCCCAGTGTCCTCTAGTAGGGACTCCCAGGGCCTGGGGACTTGCTCAGATGAATGGTAGCCCCAACCCATGACTCCTGGGGACACGACAGCAGGCCAGCTTCAGGGCAACATCAAGAGCTTTCCAGTGCTCAGGGCTGCCTTAGGGGGCCTGAGTAGCCTTAAGGAGTTCCTGAACTGGGTGCATAGCCCTGAGGCACGGGGTCCCCCCGTCTTCTGTGCCTGCTGAAGACCACCCCTGTGAGCACTGCAGACACTCACACCCACAGGAGCCCTTGTAGGCACGTGTGTTGCACAATACAAGGTATTTAGGGGCCTACATAGCTCTGCTGCTGCCTGGCTTCTCAGTGGGGGCTAGGTCTCCAGACTTGAATGAACTTCACAGCTGGGAGTTGGGAGCTCTGTGAACACGAGGCACCGTGACACCCCAGGGCACTGAGCAGGGCCGGAGCCACCCAGATCCTCAGCTGTGTCACACTCCTCCCCATTTCGGCCTGGGATGCTCTGTTAGGTCTCAATTCACAGCTCAAGCACAGAAGGTAGGGCCTCAAGGTGTCTGTTTTTTCACTTGAAAAAAAATTATTCACGAATCATACCATTTTGTTGTAAAGTGGCAGCATTTGCATTTAACAAATAGAAACACTGCTCAGCATCATGGGGGCAGCTAAGGTTTGGGGAGTTCTGATTAAACATGAAAATGAGTAAAAAAATATGAAAAACCATATTTTATGAAAATTTGGCAAAACCTACCACTGAGTGCATGACTCATTCAGGAATGGAGAGCAGAGAGGGGCCTTTGCAAAGCTGACTGACAGGCAAGCCACAGGCTTGCAGACACTTTTCTTTCCAGGAAATTCTGTTTCTAACAAATTGTTCACAGTGTTACTAAGATCATTCACAGTGTTACAGTTCACAGTGTCACTGTGATGAACACTGTTGGGAAGGATACTTGGGCCTTATCTGTGACAGGCCTGAGTGTGTCTTCTATTTAAAGGCTCATCGCCCTTGCGATGGTCATCCCATGACAGGTCTGCTCGCCGCTCTAGCCTCGGTCCCCAGTCACGCCATCCTACAGAGGACAGACTGAGGGCGGCAGGCTTGGGCATTTATGCAGTAGTGACATCACGGCATATGTTGTAATGATAGGAGATTACTAAAAAACACACACAAGTCAACAACTTAAGAGTCTGAAAAGTTTCTCATAATGTTAAAAACCATTTTAAATAAAAATTATCACATCTTCCAGTAAAACTGATTCATCCTTCCTTGAAACAGAAACACTTAAAATTAAAACATGATTTTTAAAAAAAAAAAATCATGAGCCCTGGCTTGGCTGGGCGCTGGCTCCTCCCCTCCTCTGCAGGCCCCGGGGGCTGTTCCCCATCTGCATCTGTCACTGACAGCCTGAAGGTTCTGCTGGATGAAAAAATAATGCCCGGGGAAGTGCCTGTCCTGTCACACAGGAAGAATTCATTTTGCTCCTCTTCCAGGACCGGAGTGGGGATGCGGGAAGCTGCTCTGGTGCCATCAGTCATCGTAGTAGTAATCTAACTTAGTGAACACGGTTTTGCAGCCTTTGTCGGAGAAAACTCTCTCCTCTTTGGGGAAAAATGTCATTTCCTCGGCCACCCTGCTCACAATGTCCTCGTCCACCTTGTAGCCTCGGGACTGCATTTCGACTCTGATGCACATCTTCAGGTGTTTATATTCCAGCGGGAGGAAGGGAACGAAATAGTCAATGAGGTTTCGGTCAATTAAGCTGCTGTGCCAGAAGCCACCTGGGAAAAAGAAAAAGGTGCTGTTCCTCCCCGGTCCGTCCGTCCGTCCGTCCGCCCGCCCGCCCGGCCACCACGAGGTGGAGCCCCGCGCCTGCCCTCAGGGCGGCTCGGGTCTAAGGAAGCAGTGAGCCCGCCCAGCTCGACAGCAGGGGTGAGACTGCTGGGGTGATGCTCCTAGACAGCGGATGACAGGTTGACGCCACGGTGGGCGGGGAGGCCTCTCAAGACGTGAGCTCAAGACCTCAAGTGGGAAGGAGGCTTACCGGCTGTCCCAGGACAGACAGGCCGTGCAGGCGAGGGACCAGAGACTCGCAGGTTGGCAGGTTCCCGGGGGAAGACCAGCCTCTTGGAAATTTGCGACTGGCTGGGGTTCCTGTGGCTGGATTAGCGACAGAGTGGACGCTCACTGCTGCCGCCACCGTGTCCAAACCCTCCAGAGTGTTTGGGGAACCAAAAGAGCCCCCGTCCCGGTAGGTAATGTGTGAGGACAGTGCTGTTCCAGCAGCCGCCCGCGGTCACGGGGCCTCCCAGATCCCCAGCCTCTGGACCGTCCCACTCCCTCCTCTGAGGCGAGGCAGCACCCACTGGGTCGCAGCCCGCGGCTCTTCAGAACTGTCTCCCCTCCCGCCTTCCCGCTTCCGGCCTGTGCCTTAATCCTGGTCTGGCTCCGCCGCCATGCCCACCTGGGTTCCTCCCCCACGCTACCAAGCGCTTCTCTGACACCACCCGGAGGTCCTACAGTTCACCTCGGTTCTGATGACACCGCACCCGGAGACTGCGTCAGGTCCCACAAGACGGCCCTCCCAGCCCCCGACCGGAAACTGGCTGGTCCCTGTGCTTCCGAGGTGCCGATGCCGCCCCCCTCCTTGGGTTCAATTACTTTGCAAGTGGAGCTCATGGAACTCAGAGAAATCTTTTATGACTAGATTACCGGTTTATATAAAAGGATATGACTCAGGAGCAGCCAGCTGGAGGAGATGCACGGGGCAAGGGACGTGGAGCTCCCATGAACTCTGAGCCCACCACTCTCCCCAAATCTCTGCTTCTTCACCAACCTAGAGCTCTATGAACCCTGTTCTTTAGGGTTCTTACAGAAAATTCTTTACATAGGCATGACTGATTAAATCACTGGCCACTGGCGACTGATTCAGCCTTTAGCCGCCCCTCCCCGCCCCAGGGGCCTGAAAGGGTTGGAGACTGAAAGCTCTAACCCTCCAATCCAGGGCGGTTCCCCTGGAAGGTGCCCCCCACCTTAGGTATTCTCCAAAAGTCACCTCACTTAACAGACTCCGGGGTGGCTGAAAGGGGCTTGTCAGGAACACCAAGACACCTTTATGGCTCTTGCCACTTGGAAACTCCAAGGGCTTTAGGAGCTCTGGGCCAGAAAATGTGGACAAAGGCCAGACACATGTTTCTTACTGTCAATCACGGCATCACAACTGGGGTTTATTCTTTTCCTGCCCAATAGGGCTTTGTACACAGCTGGTGCTCGGTAACATCTGACGGCCTGGATGGGGTGGAGTCTGTGGCCGTGGGAAAGAACCAAACTGAGGGCTGAGCGGTAGGCCCGCAGTGAGCGGGACAACCCTGGCCAGTCTCCTGAAGGCCTGCCGGACTTGCCTGAGGCTGGGGACGGAGCCCAGCCAGGCAGATGCTGACCTGCCTCCCGGGGTACACAACGGAGGAGCCACCCAGTTAGCCAGTAAACAAACGATTCCAGGTACTGCCAAGGGCTGTGAATGCTTACTGGGGCCGTCAGGCAAGGAGGGCGGAAGGCTAATCAGCCAGGGAGTCAGGACAACCAGGACCCCCAGAGACCCCTGAAGATCGCTCAGGTGCAGCAATGACCTTACATAACACTGACTGATCACTCCCTGGTCTATCCTCAGCCTGACCGCCACTCCCCACATGCCCCCGCCCAAGTGCACTGGGACTTCAGTGGCCTGCTCCACACCTCTGCTCCCACGCCTCCAACGTGTCATTTCCCCTGCTGCTCCCTGCAAACCTGCTCCTCCTGGAGGCGGTCCCCTGAACGAACAGGGCGGGCAGGGAGGCCCTGCCAAGTGCTCAGGCCAGATCCTCAATTCCTTTCTCATTCCCACACAGTCCTTTAGGAAATCGCAGTTTCTACCTTCAAAATACATGCCAGGCCGACCGTGACGTCCTACCCACAAGCCGCCAGCATCTCTCCCCGGGG